TTAACTCTAACAGCGTCCAGATGCAGCAGACAGTCCTAATTGGACCTGGAGCCAGCTAAATCCCAGACCCGCTCTGCTCGGCTCGGCTCGGCTCAGCATTTATGTAGCTGCTTGGTCTGAACTGTCTTCTCAGCACTTCACGTTTAAAATGGCAGACACTAATATCTGCACTTACAGTTTTGTTTTGCCACATTTATCTTTTCTCTCAAGGGAGGCAAATGAAAAACAACCCATCAGAGGAGTCAGATGGTACCAAAGGTTGGATAGTTAAGGTAAGTTATAGGCACAAGTAAAGGTCAAAGGTCAGAGGAAAACTGAGGTGGAGGAGTGTAGGCTGTATATCAGAGGGCAGGGAGCAAACAGAGCAGACGAAGGAGGAGAAAAACATCCAGGACAAAAAAAAATTGACATTCCACCTTTTATCAAGCACCTGGTTTTATCATCCAAACCCTCCCTGCATATGGTTCCATTTGGATCTGTCTCTATCACTCCCCCATCCCTCACACTCCCCATTTATACACCCCCCCCCCCCATCCTCCCATCATCCATCTTGACTTTTGCTTCTCCTCCCTTATTTTGACTCACTTTCTCAAACCCTCCTCCACCCTCTGCCTCCTATCATCTATCTACCATCCCTCCCTCTTTCCATTTCTCCCTCTCTGACTTCCTGCTTTCCAGCCTGCCAGACGGTCATAATTAACGGGGAAAACGATAGTCCCCCTGGCCCTCGGGAGCCCTCTACACTCACTGCCCTAAGAGAGACAGAGTGTGTGTGCATCTGTGTGTGTGTGTGTGTGTGTGTGTGTGTGTGTGTGTGTGTGTGTGTGTGTGTGTGTGTGTCCCCTCGTACCTCCAAACTTTTGGCCTATGCTCTGCACTCAGCTCAATGCGTCTTTATGTTCAGCATCAGCAGCGAAGCATGATCTCACCCCCTCCGAAAAAACACTCCAAATGACTTACAGAGACTCCCAAACACAGGCCGCAAACACAGACCGACTCTCTATCCAAGAGCAATAACACACACACCCTTACACACACACACAATACTGTATAAGGCGTCCACTGGCAGTCGCTCTTATTATGACTAATTCTTACAGGAAAGTAGGAGAAAGTGAAGAAAGTGAGAGAGAGAGAGTGCATGAAATTCTGTCCTCTCTACTTGAACAGAAACTAGACTGTGCTTCCTTTCCTCAATGTTAATATTTCATTGTGTCTTCACAGAGAAATGGGCTTTTAAATCACAGAGAAAGAAAACAACATGTCAAAAAAAGAACAGGCTGTCTCCAACACAACTCCACCTGTCCATATATGTGCATAACTGTGTGTGTTTCTGTGCCCTCCTGCCTTGGCATGTCCTCCTCCTCCTCCTCCTCCTCCCACCCTCCCTGGATGCAGTGCTGGGAGGCAGATCCCAGATCAGAGCAGGGCAGGGAGCTGATAAGGAGCCACACTGATGCTATCTGTCAGTCACAGCCAGAGGGCGGGGCTCAGAGCCAGAAGGTCAGGACTCTCACAGTCCCTCGGTGCTCTCCCCTCCTTCCTTATCTAAACAAACAAGTGCTTGAGATGCTCTCTCACACACATCCATGCACACATTAGGACACACGAGTATTAGCAAAACACGGTGGACACATGAACACATTGACAACATTGATAAAGCAACTCTTAACCAAAGTGATGTTGTTTCCCATCACGTCGGCAGCAAGAATCAGGAGGATGAACATCTTGGGTGCACCCTAAGGGTCAAAATAGCATGTTGTCTACCTTCAGCACATTGCTTCTGTTGATAGTAATAACATCGTGCACATCACCAAGTGTTGCTGCCAAGCTTAAGATATTTGGATGAAGATATTAGGCCCAGAAACCGTATAAAAACATGGATGACACAACAGCTCCTCAAAACTGAAGGAGAAAATGTGGAGCTCCCCCTAGTGAGCATTCTGCTCTTTAGATCATATAAACGGCCTCCTCTGTTATCAATGATGGATAGTTCTCAAACAGGATTTTTGCTATTAAAGTTACTTCTTATTGTGTTCATTATTTTTCTTATTTTTAATCAGTTATCGATGTAAAAAAAAAAAAAAAGAGACAAAATAATGTCATGATTGTCAGCTTTGTTGTCAACTGCTAGGAGGGCAAGAGAAAATGTAAGTCACTGAACCTCCCATCTGCTTTAAGTGTCAGCTTCAGATTAACACAAATGTCCGTTCCGCTGAAACCTGAGGGACTTTTAATGTTTTGTCAGTCAGCAGAAAGCACAGTAAAACCTCCACTATCACCATGATCATTGTTATCATCCCTGCACCTGTTGCTGTGTTGTGATTTTGTACAGATGTATCAGTGTTTCTTGCCCCAATTTGTGTGCAGGTACATGTGCTGAAAAGTGTGCCTCTGTCTCTGTGGTTGTGTGTGTCAGTCCAGCAGTGTAAATATTGTGTTGTGCTCTAGTAACAGCTCTTCCTCTGGCTCTGCAGTAGCTGCACGCTAGACTGTTTATTTTCCTTCCTGACGGACGACTTCTTATCAAATAAGCAGACACTGCCTCCTCGCCCGCTGTCCAACCGCGTGCTTCCACAGGATGTCCCGCCCACTCTGTCCCAAAGCTCAGCCTGTCCTTGTTCATTGTGATCGACAGTTTAATGAGCCATTCACACCACTGCCAGTAATCGCTGTTTAGTCAGAATGTGGCAGATTTACAGTGCGTGCTAACGCAGAGCAGATGTGACATATGATACAGTGTTTTCTCTCAGTTGCCATGGCAGCCCCTTCAATGATGACACAAAGATAAGGGCTGATGGTTGGCTTACACAATGGGGGCTTTATGGGTCAATATGAGTCTGAAGAGGTAACCCAGGCACTTGCATTAGAGTCTGAATGAATGAATGAATGAACTGAAAAGTTCTCTGGTTGAGAAGCTTTAAAATCATTGAACTGTTGGCCTGTTTGAATAAGCAAACTCTTTAACAACACATAACAAAATCACCCCAGCAGCAGCTTAAAATTGGTTGCAAAAGTCATGAAAAACATTTGTAATCCTGGAGTGTTTGGTCACATGACCTGGTCTTCACCAGTAGGTGGGGTCTGCACATTTTTTTAGCTCATATGAATGGTCTTTTGGTGCTGTTCAACAACTGTTTGACTCCCACATGGTTGATATCATTAAAAAAGTGCAGGAGCAAGTTATTATTTTTCTTTTTTTTCTTTTTGCATGACTCCATATAGTTTTCTGTAACTGAAATGACATTTTAACCCCCTCCTCGCCAGCTCCCATCACCCATCATACACAGTCCATGCAGCATTGTCATGTTCAACAGGCCCAGGTTCCCTTCATGCAGGCTGATATATGACCCACCAAAACCAATGGTCCCCACAACACAAACCAGAACAGCAGAGAAGAGCCTGTTGTGATGCCAGAGATGCCATTAGAAGGCAGAGCAGGGGTGCAAAGCTTGGTTGAGATTGTGATAACTGTAAACTTGACATCCCCCTATTTCCTCACTTCAGTGAGGAAAGCAGTATAATGTAAATCTCATTTGACACTTACCCTGCAGCGGGACTGACAGGTTTAGTTAGTCCGTCCAAGTACAAATGCAGGATACTCTGTTATGCATTTCCCCCGACACTGTTGATGAATGAATTTAAAGATGCAGTGTGCAGAAATAGGACTGGTAGGATTCTGGATCTAAACACTCCTTTGCTCTCTCATCTTGTTGATGATATAATCCTTCATTTACTACGAATTCTTTTGTTCACAACAACGACCACTCTCATTTTCTTTATCTTACAACAATGGCACCTTGCACAGCCTCTTTCAAAAACACATGTTGGTCCAGTCTGTGCAGGGAAACATGGCAGTGCAAGTTAGCACTGTGGACTGGACCATTTGTAGGTTAAAATTGTTTGGCAAAAACAAACCGAAAAATGTTGTGGTGATAATACACTCATTTCAAGATACCTCTGGATGTTATATTCCATATCTACTGATTCCTCCCAAAGTCCGCCAAATACAGGTGAATACCACAGACATGGAAAGTCTAATAAAAGAAACAAACTTCCAGGTTGCATTATGGGTATCATAGAATCCTGTGCGTTAAAAGCTTGATCTACATCTGAGGGTAAAATTTAAGATACTTGAAGCTTCGTCAGTCTAATTTGTACAAACAAAGCTTGTTATTTCTAGAACTCATGGAAGTATGAATCTCAGAATTGCAGTCGCCATCCAAGGTTTTTAAAAAAAAACTTTAAAAGAATAAAATAGAGCCTTTGTGTACATTTCTGCTCAACACTTTGCTATGTACCACTTGTTTCAAGCGTAATGTCACTGTACTGTAACATATGAGAACCACCCAGGTTGAATTTCTTGGAAACTTACCTGGCCAAGAAAACTAATTCAGTCCGTCTTGTTTTTTTCTCTCTTTTCTTCAGGTAGAATACGTCCTAACTGAAACCACCTGGCCATTATGAGCCTGCTCCTCTCCATCACCCCTCCTCCATCTGTGTGTGTATGTGTGTCAGAGAAGAGTGAGAAACTGGACCAGGCATGGTTGTGATTATATGTTTATGTCCATATTTGTAAGTCTGCTGGAAGACGTTTGTGTGTGTGTGCGCAGTGCTGATGACAGAGTGTGTCTTCATGTGTATGTATGTGTGTGTGAGAGTGAAAGTGTGTACACTGTGAGTTGTGAGAGTAAATAAACCCTGTGCAGCGGGGACTCACGTGGCGTTATTATCAGAGCTCAGAGAAAAGACAAACTGTTTTTTTTCTCTGATTTGATTCATCCCCACCCTCTGCTGCCTCTCTCCACGACCCACCGCAGTACACACACACACACACACACACACACCACCTTACCCCCACCTCCCCAAATTCAACACATGGCTCCAATCAGGGGATTATTTTTAGCACTTAGGAATTCTAATCAGTTGTATCGTGATTGTTTTCAGTTTCTCAGCCTCAGTATGTGAATGGAGTTTTCAGCTCCGGCTCAGAGAACTAACCCCTTTAAGAGTCACAGAGACAGATTCAGGATCATTCGGGTCATTTCTTCTTCTCTTTTTCTTTTCTTTCTTTTTTTTTTTATTTTTGCAGACACCGTCCACTTGATTGCAATCACATCCCGGCAGCCTTGTCGTGTTGGGGAATTCTTCAGAGTGACCCAGATGCAAAGCCAGCCTTCTGTGGAATCACTTACTTTGATGATCCCTGAAAAAAAGAAAATCCACAAAATAAAGTTTGGTTTAGAAACCGCGGATCAAACACACACGCACACACACACAAGGACTTGTACAGTATGCAAACTCACACACTCACAATTTGTGGTACACTGAGGCATTCTTTCTCTCTCTCTCTCTCTCTCTCTCTCACACACACACACACACACACACTAACTTACACTCATTAATCTGGGCAGACTCAGGAAACCGCTCCAGTGAGCTGGCTGGAGGCCCTGGGAGGGGTGGAGGGATGGAGGGAGGATAGGGGACGAGAAAGGGGGGGGATCAAAGCCAGGACAAGAGCAGCAGACTCTCTGAAAAGAAACAGCAGAAGAGGGAAGAAAAGAGAAAAGAAAGTTTGGAGAGGGAAGAAAAGAGAAAGGAAAATTTCCTTTGCTCTTGAGCTCTGAGAATACAGGAAGGAGAGAGGATCTGAGACCCCTTTATTTAATGAAGTGTGTGTGGGTGTGTGTGTGTGACATGCTGCGAAACCGTCAGAGAGGCTGTTACAAGAAAACACAGTTGACGCTGATAATGTTTTGAAAAATGAAATATTTTTATTTTTCTAAATATACAGCAGTGTGTGGGACCTACTGCAGCCTGTCGTGTTAACAGAGATGATAGATGGTAGCAAGGGACTCAAAAAGATAACTAGAGAAAGAAAAACTCAGTCTTTTTCTTTCCCACACAGAAGAAGACAGTGAGTTTTTATTTAATTTTATGTGGCATTTTGGAGTCTCTACTTCCATCTGATGATAAATTTGTATTTTGCATGTTTCTAGCTAGGCAGGGAATGGCAGTCCACTATGGGGACTTGCAGGATGTTCTCCTCACAAGTGTGTAGGATGTGTATAAGAGTGTAAAAGTCGTGAAAAGCGCACTTCCAAACACACACAAATGGAGTGGTGCGCACACACAGGTGCACATGCACATACACATGCATTCCCCCCCCAAAAAAAGCTCTGCAGGGAGGGTCGACAGTCCTTAAGAAAATATTCCCCAAAGCACTAATTAGAAAAACGATGGAGCTCGTTAATAGCCAGCTCCCCCATACACACACACACACACACACACACACACACACACACACATTCCCCCTCCACCTAAACTCCACCCTCACCCCACATCACCCCATTGGTCTCGCAGAAGAAGAAAAAGAAGAAAAAAATAACACAAAAACAAAACAAAAAAGATTCTGGCAGGAGGAGAAGGAGCGTTCCACTGGCAGGCCTGGGTCAGGCCCTATTTACCTACCGCAGCACTGCTCACTCTCTCCCTCTCGTTCTTGCTCTCTCTTTCTCGCTTACAGCACCGAGCACCTCCCCTCAGCGTGGAAACCTGACCCTCAGTCTTTCTCTGAAACTCACACACATAAAGTGTACATACATCAACACAAACCCACCAAGAAGTGGCACATGGTCTTGGTTAAAAAGTGTCTTGGCTCCAAATGAAACCCAATCGCTCGCTGAGTTATTCCACTCATTTCTAAATCTTTATTTCAGAAGATGTGAAAGAGGAGGAGTCACATTTTCCCCTCTGTCTCCCTGCATTATTCTTTCTCCCAGCTTTTCTTCTCTCACCCTGATTAAGTTGCACCATTAGAAAAAAAGAAGGGGAGAGTAAAATAGCCGGAGGATTTCTTGAGTCTTTACTATCCATCTCTGGAGCCAGTTTGGGAAAACTGAGACAGAGGGAAAGGAACAATGGCGTGGAATTTTTTCACATTAAGAAGAAGAAGTTGAAAAGCTCAAAAACACACAGAGAGACACTCTACATGAAAACAGTGCAGCCAAAGTGTCTTCACACATGTCTCAATCAGAGCAAGTGAGGTGGCAATTTCGGGGAATCAATTTGTTTTCTCTCCGCTCTCTTAGCTCTCTATCTGTTGCTGACATTTCCTCCCTGCGCCGTAGCCAACCCAACCACCCATTACTACACCGCACAGGCCCTTATTAAATGTATATATAGTCACGCTTTAGACCAGGACACACTTTCTCACACAAAGGCCTAAAAAGAGTGGCGAGCACAGGGTCGCACAACAAAACTTAGCTTATGAAAGAATACAGGCCGAGGAGGGAAGTTAAAGTTTGACCAGGATCCAAGATGGCCCCAGCTTGTGTGGGTGGATGAATACAGTCAAATCCAACATGCCTGCGTCTTGTTTTATAGTGTCCTCCTTCTACCCCCCCCCCCCCCCCCAACCGAAATGTGTGCCTCTTTGTCATGCTCCTCTCCAACCCTCATTAGAAACATCTCACTTAGGGTAACAGTGTTATTTCAGTGTTTGTAGCTCGTTATGGGAGTGTTTTTCCTGCGGCGTGGCCCTCATCGTGAGTGTGTGTGTGTGTGTGAAGAATGAGGGAAAGCAAAAAAAGGGGGAGGTAGGAGAGGGAGAGGGTGGGCTTCTTAAACACGGGGTGAGAGCGCATGAGTGTGATTCCAGATGTGTTTTTTACTGCTCTGGCAGGGATGACAGGGCTGTAAAGAACCTCTCCTGGAGTAGCCTGGAGGGGGAGAGACAGAAAAAGGGAGGAGGTGGAGGGGGGGTGGAAGGCTCAACGGCCTAAGACCCTTAAGGGTGAAGCCAGAAAGGAGTTAGGGGAACAGGATGAGGGTTGGGGTAGATGTTGATGCAAGGGAGTTTGGGAGAAGTTAAGCAAGGCGCCGTTTTTAGGGTCTCAAGACTGAAGCTGTGGCCATTAAAGAGGGGGATGAAACAGCATTTCCTGGCAAAAACCTCCCCACTTTATTGGCTCAGGTGTGTCAAGCAGAGTCTGGAAATATGAAATTGTGACTTGGGATATGTGTCATAGCCAGAGAGCTGTGTATGCGTTAGTTTCCCTTAAAGGAACACAGGTCTGGGAGAAGTTTAGAGAGCCAAGCCAAAGAGAGAAAACAGTCATAGGTAACAAATCATAGCTTTCAGCCAAACATGAGACCTTCAGTGAAATACGTGCTGTTTACCAAGTGTTGGGCCAAATGATTAATACCAATCAAATGACTCAGTAAGAGTTCATTTACAGTGGACTACTTGTAATACACTCAGTACACTTAAATATTACTCAAAAAAGTTGATTTATTGCAATAGCCAGACTGAGATCAGACTTTGTCACATTTGTCTAAATTTGATTGTGTTTCCTGTCATGTATATGTCTCAATCAGAGTTACCTGACCGTACTGTGAATTTATACTGCAGTTTTTGCACGCCGGCCTTTAAGGCGGCAGTTGAATAGCATGGAAGCTGGGCAGTGAACAAAACCTCATGGACGAAGAATGCGTGTAAAATAGACGAAACTTTCCTAGTATACAAAAGTCGTTTAAGTGACATCATTTTAATTGTTCGATGTATATCAGATTAGCTTCTTGCTACAGTGTTTTGTCGGTTGTTTTGATACTAAACAGGTCAACCAGGAGGTGATGGTAACGAGATGTAAGGGGCGTGTCACCACCTACTGAAGCAGTGGCTTACATAACTGGGTAACTGGAGGCTGCAATATGAGCTTGACTCATTATTATTCTACATGCTTGAATGGTTATAAAGCCTCAAAAGAAAAATTAATGCTAGGGATACAGCATATCAAGTCAATCCGGTGCACTTGATAGCCCAGCAGATGGGTGCCAAAAATGTAAGCCAATACATACCAATTATTTTGGTATCATCTCCTACTTTTGACAGTACCAAACCAAACTGAACCAGACTGCTTGGTAGAAATAAGTCCTTGGGGCACAGATGTCAGAGCAGCCTGGGAACTAGTGGCTCCTAACCACGTCTGATCAGAAAAAGTGGAGCAAGAGCCAATCCTACAACCTAGGCAGCAGCAGTAGAGCTATAGTGACTTTATTTTACACTTTAGTTTAGGTTGTTGTGTCCATACCATCAAGTGCATGAACTTGATGGTATGAACAATTATGAAAGTAGCATTGATTTTTAAAAGTGTGACATTTGCCTTGTTTATGTTTAAAGATGTGCAGATCTAATATTCCCACAGACCATTTTAACTTGACTAATTTTACCTTCAATGGAAATATCCAGTTTAATTTTTTTATACAAAATAGGCAGGCTCATGTTTTCAACTTGACAGTGAGTTGAAAATTTCAGTTCCATGTTGAAAAAAGCAACACAAAAAAGAGAAAGAAGACAGTATTATGAAGGAGATGTATGTGTGTGTGTGTGTGTGTGTGTGTGTGTGTACAGTGGGATGAAACTGCGGGTCCTGCAGCTTGTTAGTCATGCTCGTTAATATGCGCCTTTTTTATTGGCTCTGTTCAAAGACTGACTTGGTGTTTCATCTCAACGTTACCTTCTTCTCAGTCACAGACAGAGGAGAGGAAGAGGAGGAGGAGGAGGAGGAGGAGGAGAAGTCAGGGGGTCAGTGGAGGAAAGAAAAAGGAAGTGAGGCTCACAGATGAGTGAAGTGGAAAGTTCTTATCTGTGTTGAATTTGTGGAAGACTTATTTAAAGTCAAACTAAACATGAGGAAGGTGAATTGTTTGAAGGTTTGGAGGCAAAGAAACTAAACTGAGGCAGATCAGAAGAAGACATGAGGAGAACAGAGAAAAAGAAGAAAAGGGTCTGGTGGGTGTGAAGTTTATCCTTTAAAATATCAGACTAGTTCACATTTAAATGATATGAAGAATAAACCAAAAAGTAATTTCTGATCATAAACTTTATAAAATATACATGTAGTCTTAAAGTTTCTGATGCAGGGAGTTGGTTCACACACATAACCTTGCTCAGCCTCAAACATTCCCGACATCTTCTCTTTAATATGCATCTGTTACTATCTTTGATGGTGGATCAGAGGAAGAAAAATTTCATCTCTTAATGCAAAACAGGGGTGTGAATATCCTGCAATGAAAGGCATTATGAAAGGTCTTTCGGACAGAAATCACAAGAACAAATGTGAGAGCAGCCTGCAGAGCTAGGAGGTTTCAACCATCTTTGAGAGATGGTGAGATCATGTCCTCTTATGCAGACAAGTGCATCTCTAGGTCCTACTCATCTTTTCTAACTTAACCCATGGTAGAAAAAATCTGTTTGATATGTTTATAACAAATAAAGAGGCTAAAGGTGTAACTTCACTGTGAATGGAAAGCTTCAGTTGATCCTTTAAGGCGGCTCATACAGATCTGTTGCCATGGACACATAACAGCTGTAGAGTAGGAGGGACCATTTTTTTTAGATGTTTG